GATTGTCCTGCTACATCAAGAATGTCGTCTTAGATTTATGCTGTCCATTACATGGACATGCCGGCATATTTAACATCCAGTTTTTGGTTTGCTATAAATGTTATTGCCTGTGTGGGACCAGTTTGAATTACTGAAGCTACTTTCTTGTAGCGCTTTATAATTTGTTACCCTTTTAACTATCTTACCTTGTAACATGGGTTAGAATATTTAAATAATTAAAATAATGGATATTAAAATATAAGGTGTAAAGTTTTCACTCTAATACTGAGATGCCAGCACAATCAAAAGGATAGTTGAAAAATATTTCTGTTCTTTAGTGCATGTCTAGATCTCAGTGAAGCTCTAACAAGTGATGATAGTTATGCAATTGTACTGGCAATAGCAATTAGAGATTTACAAGTGCTTGTAAATGCCGCTATTTATAGGATGGGCGCTTTATTTAACGAAACGCTAATCTTTCTCTGCAGTGGGAGAAAATGTCAAAGTGGAGTATTTCATCCTTGTGATGGGACTGGACTATAACATCCAAAAGAACAGTACTTTGTCCTTTTTTAAAAAAAACCCTAGAGGCTTCAAATAGGCTTGCACATGGGGAATGGGGAAAGAATATTTTAAATTTTGCAATGCTTTGGAATATTACTATTAAAGATCTATGGGGCTTTGCAGGTCACAAGATATCTGTCTTGTGAGATTTGGAATATGTATTTTTAGTTCTCAACCTGTTAATTTTGATTATTGAGGAGCAGAACAAGTGCCTTGTTCTACTGAACTTCTCACTGTGAATCTGCAAAAAGATAATTTAAATGCATTTTATTGCTTGTTCTTACTTTGTGAATAAATTTGTCCAGGAATATTTTTAAAAATTAGAGCCAGTATGACAGTATTTTTGTTAATCTTTCTCTTTGAGAGCCCCTGTATGTCCTCTTAAATACAACTGATGGATCCCATTTCAGTGAATGACGGTACTAATAACGTGAATCAGGCTTAAATCCAAGAATAGAAAAAGCCTTTTTTTACTGAATTAGTTGCATGATCTACTTAGTTACAAAAGTTTCAGAAGAGGGTGTTTTTTTCCTCTTCACGTTATTTTAACTGTGCTATAGTAAGTCTTATGTTCTTGACAGTATTCACACACATGGTTAAGTTTATTCTTTTTTTCATACATGCACGGTGAGTGATTGGATTAAACAAGAATTAGCAGAGCAGATCCTATCAGCAGCTCTCCAAGTGTTGTAGGAAGCAGCAGAAGGATGATTGCTTTGGATAACTGACATGAATTGCTGTAGGCTGATGCCAATATATGGTCAGTGAGGAGAGGAAGAAAAAAAAAAAAGAAAACTTTTTTTTTAAAGACTGATGGTGGAGAAGCCTTTTGTAGAAGGAATGAAATAAATCTTGTATTGTTTTGTGTTTGTGTGGCATGTATGGTTGCTGCATTTGTTTTCAGTAGCTCCTGTGGCTTGCTATACCAGTGAAAACCTGCAGGACAGATGAATATATAGTCATGGGCAAAGCTTTGTTTTCAGAAGCTGCTAATACAAGTAGTTATATAAATCTCCTGTATTTACACACTAAGGGAGTAATTTTTTTTATACTGGTAGCAGATTTGCTGGTAAAGTTGTGGCTAAAGAAGGAAAACCTTGTGTTTATTTGGGAGTATTGTTAGTATAAACAGTCACGGATATTCACTGTTGGAGCCATGCTTTCTGGTTGTTTTCAGTTTTATAAACGGGATTTTTTGGGGGGTGGTGGTGGTGGTTTTTTTTTGTTTGTTTTTGTTTTGTGTGGCGTTTTTTTTTATAGCAGGGAGATTTTCTCTGTGGAATTTTTATGCTTTCCATCCTTACAAAAGACAGATGGACTTGTTTATCTGCAGTGAGGTTCAGGGACAGATTATAGATTATTTTGCTTTGTGTCATTTAAAACATTCTTATTTATGAGCAAGGAAGTTGGCAATAATCACGTGATTCATGGTGGAAAAATTGTCTGCAGGCTGCTGTTCCTGTTGTCTTAATAGGCTTAAAGGAATTACCACTGATGTAAATAATAGTTCTGTGTGCCGCTGGTGGGCAAGGCAGGGTAGGCTAACGCTAAATATAAAGGGTGTGTTTCGGGTAAAGCCTTTTCTGTATGATTTTTTCAAAAATAACATTATGAAGTGAATAATCCATTTTGATTTCTAATGAGCAATGTTAATAATCTTTGTAAAGATAGACTGTTTAATTAAAAATCCAAACAACACCTCAAGATGTTAAGAATTTAAGGCTCGGTTTAGGCCTGGAGCGGTGTTTGCGTGTGCATCTCTCTAACACCCTGTAGTGGTTCAGCTTGGCCCAGGAAAAATCACAGTTGCAGTTGTTTTGAAGCTGAGGAAGAAGAGCAGCGGGGGAAGATCCAAGCCTTCATGTGCCTTTCTTTTCATTAAAAACAGGAAGAATTTCGAAAGGTGTTTCAGTGCCATTTATACTTTCATTTGTGCATGCAGAACGCAACCCAGAACAGCCGAGGGGAACGTGACCGAAGCTTAGGGAGCACGAAGGAAAATAGTGCCCAGGAAAGGTGACAACGTGGTTTGGGTGCTTCGCTGAACAGAGTGGGGACGTGTAGAGGACGGGGTGGCAGCGTGGGGCAGCGCAGCCGGCTCAGCGGCCACGGCAGCACGGGCAAATCGTCCGACTGTCCCTGAGCAGAGGCGGGTCAGGGGAAGGGAATAACATATTGTAGCTGACGATGAGGGATTTACAATTGTAATAGCACAATTACAGTAGTAACACTAAATAGTAATAGCATCCAAAATTCTCATGCAATTTAGTTTACAGTTGATTTTTTAAATTGCCCAAAATTTTGTACATTGCCAACTTGACCAGAAGACAGTATTTTGTTAGAGTTCATCAAAACCAAGGTGTGTATTTCAAAACCGAGACCCAATGTCTAGTGTATGGTACACGTGGCATTGATAACATGATTCTCTTTTTCAAATGTGCAGCTTTTTGCTTTATAAATTTCCAAGTTTATAAATATAATTTCCAAAATTTTATAATTTCCAAAATTGGGTGATATTTTTTTCCCCAAATATTTTGTTCTCCTTTTTTGAATACTTGTCTGTTTTGGGCCACACATCTGTTGTAGGGTATCTGAGTAATAAGAATTTAAAACCTGAAAACTGACTTCACTAGATCATGTAGAAAAAAATGGGATCCTGTAAAGCTGAAGCGTAGCGTAATAAAACTAGGGAACAAATATCATCAGAATGGGTAAATTGTGGTTTAGGAATGTTGGCTGGAGAAATGAGTTGTACGCTGTTAGCAAGGATTATGTCCCGCATTGTATACTCACCGCCTTGCGTTCCGTTGAGGATCAAGTTTTATTCTGTTTAAGAAGCTCTGCCCCCTTCTTCTTTTCCAAAGAAAAAGAACTACAGAATGATACGAGCAAACATGTTCTCAAGTACTGCAAGACAGATGCTGTTTTTACGACTTAATTTTTTGCTTTGCGGTATTTCCTGTTAGCATTGCCCTTTTTTTCAGCAAGTGTTACTATTCTACTTTTAGACTATAACTGCTTTTCACAAAACCTTTGCATCCTTGGAATGTGAGAGCATTTAAATCAGATTTTGATTGTGTTTCTTAGAATAAGGAGTGGGAGAGGGAGGAAGATTTCATTAAGATCTGTGAGATTGTGGAAGGGACAGATTGATTCTGATAAGCTGATTGGGTTAGTGACTATTTTAGAAAGGAGAGGTCGTGGACTCGAAGGGGACTAGCACAGCATGTAAGTAGTTGAGACAGAATTTCAAGTGGATTGAAAGATGAAAGGGAATGGGCAAGGTGAACAGAGTTCATTAGCCTGCCTGAGAGAGGAAGGCTTAAAGCAAGGGACAAAAATAAATCTCTGCAATTTATGGTGCCAGTGTGGTGTTGGTCTATTCAAGGGAAGCTGAAACCATTTTTCCAGACTGCAGACTTGGGAAGGCAATATTTTGGGTTGTTTTTTTTTTTTTTTTCATATTCACATGCAGGGGGCTCCATGTTCCACAGAATCTACAAATAGGCATATTTGTAGGGTAAATACACACCAAAATAGATCAGGCAAGAGAAGTCCACAAAGGCTGCCCCTTCAAAGGCTGCCCAAAAGTAGACAAGAGGGTGGCAACACAAAATTGAGTCCCTGAGTGAAAGACTATGAAATACAGTATGAATTTCCTAAAAATTAAGAGTATGACAGCTTTTAAAGGAAAAAAAAAGCATTTATCCTTACATCGCCACCTGCATCTGCTGCAAAGTTAAATACACTTTTTATTACACAAAAATTCAGGTTACTTCTTGTTGCTGAAATTCTAATTACTGCTGGTTTTCCCTCATCTCTGCAGTAAGAATATAATTAAAGCAAAGCTAATCTCCTGCCTTTGTTGGCGAGATATTGGAAAAACTGCTTTGTCATGGTAAAAGTCATATTTTGATTGAAAACCAGCTGTTTGAAGGTCAGCTTCTCAGGTAGCACTTAACATACTGTTGTCACAGAAAGGAGATTTACAGTAGAAAGTAAATGACAGTAATTGAGATTACAGTAATAGAGAGCTCGGTGTTTAACCAGTGATTGACAACACTTGAATTTGCAAACAGTACTCATTGAAATGTGGTTTTAACTATTTCAGATTTGGTCTGTCTATTGTGCAGACCAAGTTATTTACCCTTCACCTTGCAGTTACACCTTTCAGGCTTTAGGTGGTAATTTCTTGTTGATTCTTTAATAACTGTCTGAAAAATAGACATTCTTTTGCTTCATACAGTTAAATCAGGTGGCTTTATACTTCAAAATGGGAGCCAGCTTTTTTTCCTTAAAATGCTCAGGATTTTTGTCTCATGTGGTGTTACCTGTGTAGATCTGGGTATGTGCCATACTTGAATCTGAACGCTCTTTGTTTGTTTGCAGGAGAGGTCTGATCAGTGTTGCTGAAGTGATCGCTTTCCCCTGTTCTTAATGTGATCTTGGCGACCGACATCTTGTTTTCACTATGAGAAGTGAATCGGATTGTATGGATTGGTTGCAGCAGAAAATGCAAATTATGGTAAGTGGTAGCAAGGCTTTTGGAGATTTGTAGAGTATGCATTTATTTCCATCGTTTAATTGTAGGCCTTAGGTAATAGATAACAAATAACACTTTCGGTCACACCAATCTTGATGTTTTTATTAGTTTGAAAGTACGTACTCAATGCATCTGGGCAGCTATTTATATTGTAAAAAGGAGTTGATGTTTGTATGTCAACACTGAGATGTTTGCTTCAAGAAATTAATTAGTTTATTTTTAAGTATCTCAACCCTTGAAACTTACTTGACTAATGGGAACTCAGTGCTGTGCAGATGCTCTTGTAGGTTTTGTGATGTATTTTTTGGTTGTTAGATCTAATCAATGAATAATGGTGTTTCTTGCTGTGTTTCTAGAGGAGGAGGAACAGTATGTCTTTCATTATGTGATACACTCTGTAGACAGCCTATCTGAAAGGCACCTTAATCTGAGTTTAGCTACCTTATGAATTTAAATTAGAATGATGTTATTTGATGTTCATGCTGATTCTACATCCATACTTGCATTTTCTTTCTTTTTCTGCAGATTCTTTTTCCTTGTTGGATTTTTTCAATCCTGTTGAATGTGTAACTACAACTATGGCAACAAGAGTAGAAATAAATTCTACTTTGGCGTCTTTGACGACAGTACCTGACTTAAATGAAAGCAGAAATGAGGATAAATCACAGCGTGTGTATGTGAGTGTGCTTTCAGATGCAAGTAACAAGACAAAGGAGGCTTCAGCATCACTAACTCTTGAAGAGAAGAACAAGTTTGGGAGTACTTTGAGATCTGCAACAATGCCGTCACTAGGATCAAGGCCAAGACTTTTTCCAAAGCCTTTTTCTAAAGAGAAATCTTCAGATACTTTTGCAAATGTAAAACCACCTATTCCGGCTTTCAGATCAAGTAGTCTTATTAGAAAGGCCACTGAAGAAACATCATCTGTTAAGGTATTAAGTGGAAATGTTCCTCCGTTAGTAGATCAGACGGTAATTGAAAATGAAAATAAGGCTGGCAGTGAAGTAGTCACAAACATGACTTTCTACACTGGTCCCAGTGCGAATACTGTCATTCTTTTTGAGACGGCAGGCACAGAGCAATCAAAGGTAAACCTGGCCCAAGAAAAAAGGGCTGCTGATGACTGCAGAGTATTTAGTACTATGCAAACGAAAGAGCTTCAGTGCAATGCGAAGCTGGAGAAACCATCTCAGCCATCTGAAACATCCAGGAATAGTGAAGGGTCTCTTCATAGGCAGATATCGTTTTCCTCCAGTCTTAGACCAGTCTCTTGGAATTCCCTCAAAACTGGTGAAAAAAAAGATGCTTATGAAGTTCACCCAGGGGAGAAAAACAGTGATGATGCAAATAATACCAACAGTGAAGTTGATTTCTCTATTGATGTGCAGCAAAGGCCAAAACATAGACCAGTATCTGCTATTTTTCTGGAATCATTACGAGATCAAAAGCATCGCACCGTGGAAGCTTCTGAGGAAGAATCTCCTGCAGAGAAATCCTGGGTTAGAAAACCAAGGCCTTTGTCCATGGACCTGACAGCCAAGTTTGAACATAAAGATCTTTCTTCTTGCAAGAAGACTTGTTCATCTCATGAAAGCAAGGAGAATGTATCGATAATTTCTTTTACTGACGTGGGCTGTCATGATCAGTCTGAAGCGGGGCCAAAAACTGAAGAAACTGAATTTAATAAAGTCAGTTCTTCTAAAACAAATTTGAAGTGCAGTAGTCAGGACAACGGCATCCTAAATAATGGAAAATACATATGGGAAACGAAGCTTAAATCTAAAAGTGAACAAATTGAGGCAAAACCAGAAATAATGACTAAATTGCATGGTTCTGAAAGAAGCCATGAAACCACTAGTGAAAGCAGAACTAATACGGAGGGCAAAAGACCAGATCAAAAAGAAACTTATATGTTTCTAGGCTGTGAAAGCCCTGCAGCTTCCTCAGAAAAAGAGAACAATATTGTAAGAGGTAGTGTTAAAAAACACATTAGTTTGTTTACTTCAGAAAATCCCAGTACCTCAATGGATACAGAGCTTCTCCCATCAACTGCTGAGAAGGAAAACAGATGTGTGAACATCCAACAGAGAATCAAAGAACTGACAACAGAAAATACTGATATTAAGCCAGGAAATCTACGCAGGTCACTTCAATCACGACCACTTTCTGCAGATTTAACAAAGATGTAGGTTGCAAAGAAGTTCTATTTAATCCTCTTAACTTCATCTCATTCAGTAAAACTTGCTCTTTCAGTACAGTAAAATAACTAAAAGTTTTGGTTCCACTAAACGTAATTATTTTTTATACTATTATTTTTGAGCCTTTTCCCCACTTCTTCCTACCCCAAAAAAAGAAAATTTAATGAAATATACCCTGACAACAGCTGCAAAAAAAAAAAAGATGCTGTCAATATTGTGGCCTTTGCATGTTATTGTAACTGTATATCTATTACTAAAATTTCATGCATTTTGAAATCTTGAGGTGAGCATTGTAGACTGCAGGCTTATATATTTGTGAGAAAGCAAAAGAATGGTTACCATGTCTTCGACTGCGGTATGGAGTATTAGGTTTTCAGCCAGACAGGAATCTTATTTCGCTGTCATATTAAAGGCTAAATATCTGTGATATCTATTCTGCCTATCTACCTAAGCTGTGGCAATGAGCAGTGTTGTTAGAGTAACATGAGGTCTGCTAATTTTTACATACCAAAACCACACACACAAAAAATCTCTTCCAATAAAGAGAGATTTGGTCCAAGGTAAAATGTATTCTCTCAGTAGAAAGTTGGGTAATTGATTATTCAAAATCATAAAAATTTGTTTGTGACATGAATGAGAGCGAGCTTTGTGCACCTGGCAATGCTATCTGAGGCCATACTGCGGGGCCTGGTACTAGCCTGGATAGTTCATGTTCTGTATGTGATGACAAAGGGATAAGGAAAGAAGGATAATGGTTTTTTGGTAGCGTAAAGGAAGTGTGCTTCACATAATGAACGCAGCAGATGTTTGGCTAACAGGACCTGCTTTATGAACAGTGGAATAATAGAATTTTTCAGCAAACCTTGGTCTTTTAACATTGTGATCAAAATAAAGAAAAGAAATTTAACTGAGGCATGAGAGTATTCGTATCTCTTTCACTATGCCTCATTATGTATCTCTAAATCTTATACTATACAATAAGCGCATAACTAATCATTTTTTGGGAAACAACAATCCTTTGGTCTAGATACAATTAAGACACCAAATACAGTTACTTACTATGATATAGTGATGTTTCTCCTTTAAGAAATATAATTTATTGGATAATTTCTACCAGTCTGCTTTGGTAGGAAGTGTACCTGTTAACTAACAAACTGGACTAAAAGAAGTAACAGAAGTCTCTTGTCTTAGGTTTTCAAGTCCGACATCAAGCAGTGAAGCAAAGCCTGAGAAACCTGCTGAAATTAGAAACGACTCTATCAATGAAATGCAAGGAAATCAAAAAGTAAGAAAATGGCATCAGCTGGTGTGGTTTCCCGCTAAGTTTGCATTTAGAAGGCAGAGAGCACTGTCCTGTGTCCCGTGCGTCTTTATCAATCCATTACTTTAGAATGGGTATCGAGAGTATTAAGAAAGACTTACACAAGTAAACCTGTTAGGATTATGTCAGTCTTTAGGACATGCTGGTAAAGTATTGGAGTATCATGTCTGTTGAGTTTTTAAAAGTTAAATATGCATGCTGTTAAATGCATGCAGTGGTGTAGAGTGAAAAGTATTTTATATACTATTTTAAAGGGACTTATAGTGCATGAAAACCCATAGTGCATCGACTGTGGCTGTTGTGGTTTTGTGCAGTGATTATCCTTTATTTTCTCTAAGCATGGCATTAGTATAGCGCATTTCTACATCTAAGTCACAACTCCTTATTAAATATGTGCTGTATGTTTCATGTCAGTCTCCTAAATAACATTTAACTTAGAAGTTTTGACAATAAAGTATTATGCAGAAAGTTCTGATTTGCTGTAAAAGCTGTTAGGCTGTCTTTGTTTCTAAGCAACACTTTGGTGTTGCAAAACATAACTTCTCTGCTGATGCTTCTTAGTATTGGAGATTTAATGTAGTTTTAAGGGTATTTCTTGTGAGTTCTCATGGCTGTGCTTTTTTCCTGTCTAGGTTTAAGATAGGAATATATGGTAAGGAAACTAGCAGCTAGATACAAGGTTTCTGTAGTTTAATATAATTTTAAAGAAGATCAATTTGTTTTAAAAATAAAATCTTTCATTAATGTAAGTACTGTTTTCAGCATCTGACAATAAAGTAGGATTAACAAAATTTCTTTGAGTTCCTAGAAGAATGTAGATCAGTTTTAAAAATCTTTATTTATAAGTGTCTTTAGTGTTAATTTCCTGACATTATTCAGCCTTTTTTTAAAGAGAATCTTAAGTTGATTCCAAGTTTTAAAATTTAAAACTTGAAAAAAAGATTGAACTCTTGTAGGACCAGGGACTATTCTTTGGTTCTGTTTATTATTTGCATGCTGTGCTTTTTCAATGAATGTTATTAAAAATAACAGCTTTCAGGACGCTAGTTATATTTCCTGCAAGTAGAGAATAGTAAAGAATTGGCAATAAATATTAATTCCTGCTTTCTCTTTTTACGTCAGCTCAGCCTTAACATTATTCTTAGCTGAGCAGTTCCAGCTGTGATATTTACTCATGTTCCTCGCAGTTACTGACCATGTAACTATTTAGTTAGTGAACAAGCTATATTTGAAAAGGCAGTTTTGACAAAATACAGCATATTTGGTGTCTCCCAGGAGTTCAGACTTCCTCTGAAGCTGCCTACTTCCCTGTGGTGCTGTTCTATGCTTTGCTTCTGAACTTGAATTTCTGTAGGGTTTGCAACATAAATGTTCGTAGGTGTTTCTGTGGTAGCTGGGGTTATGAACCTTCTAAAGTTTTGTACTATTTTTGCATGTGTTGCCTTCTCTGGAGTATGATGTGGGTATAAATTAACTGCAGATTAAAATCTCTTGTGAAATCTGAGCTCAGGAGCTCACAAAGTCATGCATATCTCATGTATCTCAACACTTCATAAATTTCTCCTTTTTGGTATTCAAAGTAAAAATCAAGCTATGAGATAATTCTGTTATAATCAAGATTCAGGAGCTGGTACACATTTGCTTAGATTACCTTGGTCTCAGTGGATTTTGTGTTCAAACATGGATGTGTTTAACTTGTGCTTAACTTGTGCAGGCTGTGTTGCACAGAGTAGGTGCAAGTAAGTTTTAAAATAAACTTTATTACACATCTTCTAAATAAACTGTCTTAACTGTTGGATTTTCTTGTTCCAGAGCAAGGAGGTCACGGTTGCACGTGGCACTGATTTCACTGAAGCACATGCTACTGGGAACCCTTGGAAACCCCGGCAGATTTTAAAAATAACAAATAAACCCGATCAGATAGAGAGGAAAGGAAGCTGCCTTGGAGATGGTCAGCATTTTTCTCAGCAAAGTGAAAATTCTGTCTCGTTCACAAGCAACTTGGAAAAAAAATTAAAGCCAACCACACTTATGGAAAAGACCTACATTAAAACTGTCCGAGCCACCATGTTTGACCATAATGTTCAGAGGCATAATGTTGCTGCTGATCATCCTGGAATTGATTCTGCACTGAAAATGAATAATGAGCTTGAGGCAAAGCATGATGGGGTGACTTCGGGACACAACAGACAATCATGGATGGGAGAAGTGGAGGAAACCACTAGTATAAAGAAGGAGTATCACAAGCAATCTGATTCATCAAAACATATAGCAGATGTAGAAAAAAGTGGAAAACCAGCTTGTTCAAGTGAAGGCAAGAAAATGGCTCCGGGAATTGTCTTAGAAAAATCTTTGGTTGAGAAAAGTGAAAAACCCATTCCTAAAAATGCAGAAGATCCTCTAATTTATCAAAGAATAGAGCCGAGATATGAAATCTTTCAGACGTGTGGTGAAAGAGCTCTTAGCGAAGCCATTATAATGGCTCCTGAAAAAAAGGCCATGACGCTCAGAACTAGAAAAACATCTTTGAAAGAGAATAAAAGTGATGAGGATGTTTTACACACTGGTGAGTTGGCTAGGGCAAATAGTAGAACTCTGTCCTTGAAAGAAGATAACACTATTTCAGAAGCTAGAGACACAAAAGGTTTTACGAGCAAGTCTGTGTTGAGAGAACCTACTGATTTTTTCTCCAGTGAATGCACTTTACCTGAACAGAAAAAAGACTCTGATAAAACTGAAACTGATCCAATATTAATAGCTGAGAAAACACCTTATTCTACAAACAAAAGTAAATATTTGGGAATGAATGAAAAAGTAAACAAACTACATGCTGAAATTAAAAATGACAAGAGTGAAGTCTCTTTCATGGATAAAACAGAGGGGTCTAATATGATGAAATGCTCTTCTGAGAAAAGGAGTTTTAGACCAGGTGGGACGGACAGCTATGAATTCAGAACCAACTTTGATCGTGCAGTTATTTCAACAAGTGTAAATAAACATGGGTCCCAGTCTTCTTCAGTGCTTTCAAGTGGACAATTTTGTAAATCTTCCAGTAGCCACCATCCAGATACAAAAGTACTAACCATTAATAAAGAGGAATCTAGGGTCTTTGGTTTAAGGAAAAGTCTAGACTTAAATCGCAAAGAACAAGACTTTAGGTTAGATAGTACAGCTCATGAAAACAGTGAAAAAATCAGAGTAATAGATCCAGAAGAAAAAGTCAGGAGAACCAGAAGTAGCGTTTCTGACTTGAAGATTTCTGAAAGGTGGAGAAGGAGGACCTTGCCTCAGGATTCTGTCAAGACAGAAGAAGTTGCCTGGCTCACTCCTGAAAATATCAAAAGGCTGAGTCGGACAGATTCATTGCAATTGGATGAAGGTTCAGTTAAAAAGAGAAGCAAAAAAAGCAAAGAAGGGGTAGAAGGGAATGAGGCAAACCAAACTCTTCTTGGCAGTCCTGATGATTACTTGAAAAATCAGAGTTCTGCCTTTGAGCCAAAGGCAACTTATTTTGCGGTGACTTATCAGATTCCTGGTAACAAAAAAGAGAAAAGCTTTGTTGGTACTCCTAGTGCAAGTGAAACTAATACAATTTCTAGCTCAAGTGAGGGAGCAACAATTAATCTGAACTCTGTTTTTCCTGGAAGGTCCAAACCTTTATTACAGGAACCAAATAAAAATTTCACGAGTACAAATTGTAGAGAAGACTCACGGGAAGTTCATATTAACAAGGATTGGGTCAAAGTAGAAGACAAAGATGATATTTTTTCCAAAAACATTGCATTTGGTAATTTTCAAGTATCTAGGAAAGATAACCAACAGCATCATGAAGGAGGTCTGGATCATTCTAAAGAGAAAATTATAGATGTTGATGCTTTCCTGTTAAAGCAGGGTCTGGAAAATACAGCTCAAACTGATCTCAAAAGCAGCAGAAGAAAAGTCTCCTCTTACCATGAACCCAGATCCCCTCTGTGTTTTGCACAGTTACATAAAGACAGTGAACTTGTCCCACAGAAAAGGAGTGAAAATAATTATGATTTATCTGGAAGGAAGGCTGAGGATGGTTACAGATCCCAGATTCTCGATATTGATGCGCTTATGGCAGAATATAAAGAAGAATCAGTGAAGGCCAGTAACGTTCGTGACAAGCTCTCTGAAGATCACAGTTCATTTAGTAGGGAGAAATCAAAGAGCAAAAGAAATGTATCAGATCGGACGTCTTCCTATAGCTGGAAAGAGAAAGAGTGGAAGGGATCAGATCACTATTCTGTTAATAACAAACAAGGTGACCGTGCAGAAGAGTACCACAGGCCAGAGAAATTAATTCTAAATGAAAAGAGCAAAGAGAAACTGGAATCATGTAGCCCTGAATTTGATAAACAAAAGTCCAAAGACAGAAAGTTCAGTCCTCCTTTCTGGGGAAATCCTAGCAGCTTTTTTTCAGATAAGTTTGTAAATTCACCTGTGGAGTTTGCTAGGAAGAAAACTTTCATTGTTGATGAGGATGAAGAAGTGAACTTAACTTCCAGGAATCAAAGTGCAAAATTTGTGATTGGTAAGGTACAGCCTATAAATGCAGTTGGTCCAGACCAAAGGTTGGAAGTTAATTTTGCTTCCAAGCTGTCCATAAAGGCAGATGATGGCCTCTTACAGAAGAAGTTGGTTACAAAAGAACAGTTCTTGGAGGTGTCTTCAGAAGGTGATTGGAGCAAAAATGTAGCAAGGAGCTCTATAACGAGGAACAAAGACAATGGAAATAAGGCGATGTGTGAGAGCGACTCTTCCAATGTGAAAAGTAAAACTGATTGGAAGAACTATACACCTGGTTTAGGAAGTGCACCCCCAGATTTAAGACGATCCTATTCAGAAAAGAGCCGCCAAGGAAAAGACAATCTACCGCTTATGCAAGAAGTAAGGGGAAGAAAGGATCTATACCGATCCAGGCAAAGCTTCCCATTGGAAAGTGCGGATAATGGGTGGAAACACAAGATGTCATCTCAGTCAGAACCATTTTCCCATGAGGATAAAAAGGTATTACCAAATGGTATCTAAGTGTTTCCTGTAACTACAGTTGAAAGCGAGGAGAAGCTTTTATGATGGCTCTGTACTGCTTTTCAGCATTAGCTGTGCCTTTGCAGCAAGTGAGCAGATACATACTTTTCAATAGAGTTCATTTGTTTTGGGTTGTATTTTCTTGAGGAACTTGTGTTGTACAAGATGAGTAGATTTTTGTTTCAAGTGTATAAATATTTATTGATGCTTCCATGGAGAGCTTGAAAAAGCTTTAAAATGTGTGCATATTATTTTATTAACACTACAAACCTAGGATGTTAAATTGTTAACACTGCGATTTTATAATTATTTGAAAAGAAGTAGTTTGGGTTTATTTTCTAAGTTGTCAACAGTGATGTTTTTGGAGTTCTTTTTGTTTGGCTTTTTTTTTTTCTGAAGGAAGCAATTTTTTTTTTTACTGGGTGGGTGGCCCTCATTTGTATGTGAAACTTCACTGCTGATACTGACTTTGGTGAAATGCAAGTGATTCTCTAAGACAGTGACACGTTAATGCATTAACGCACAGCCAGTTGGACGTTGATGGCTACAATGTTTTTCCATTTTGTGCTTTCAGCTTTGAACTTCCTCTGTTTTTTTTTTCCAAAAGGACACTTTATATACATATGTATGTGTAGGCATGTATATGTAACAACATACATAACTTTATTTTAACATTAGAGTGGACCAAGCAGAGTTCAGACGGAACAGACGTTTCATTGGTTTCTACTCAGAGAAGCCGCCACAGTTTTTATAAGGACAGAAGGGCAGATAATGGGACGGTATGTTATTTTGGAGGAGGTTCTTGGGCAGGGCCTAGGGGAGAGATAAAGGAGATGCAGCCTGGCTTACTCCATTCAGCACTGTTTTCCTTTTTGCAAATAGCTGTGAAAGAAAGTATGTGTCTTCCTAGCAGAAGGAGCAGATGCACTGTCTGTGGAGTTTAACTGGCAGAGAACGCTTCTCCCTGGGATTCCACCATGCTGGTCTATGCCAAACCTTCAAACACAAAGCATTAACCATGCAGCTTGTTCATTTTTCTAAGTGAAGAATTTTCATCCTGAACTCTTAAGATGGGTCTAGATCATTATGCTTTTTGTTTGTTTCTCAGCTTAGATAATGAAAATTGGATAGATTCCAGAAAATCTTTTCTGGAAAATTGTGCAGACAAGTAGGACCATGTCATAGCCTGAAAAATGATGGGTTTAATTTTCTTTCTGTAGGCAACACACAGAGAACTATTTATGTGAAGAATCACAGCTGACATTTTTGGTAGTCTTATTTTTCTCTAATATGCGTGCTTTTGGGGTAAATTCCCACTTAAAGTTGTTGGGTGATATTCTCCTAAGTTGTGGAAGGATGTCCTGACTTTAGCCCACAGATTAATTTTATGTTGGGAAATAACCTCCTATGTCCAGATGTTGTTCTGAAATAAAAAGCAAAGATCTGGATCTTCCAAAAGTTATATAATAAATGAAATATCAAAATTTTCTGTGGAAAATAAAGGATTTGAAAACCACATCAACAGCACAGAACGCTACAATTTTAAGAGAGACATTGCTGCTGCCACTGAAATCCTTCCTTACTGGAAGAACTTGTTTTGAACCACTGCAAGTGCTGTGTGGTTTTGGGTTTGGTTTGTGGGGTTTTTGTTTGTTTTTTGTTTTTGTTTTTTTAACCTTGAGTGTGGAAACAGATTTGATACACTGGAATAATACTGTAGTCACTTCAAAGTGCACTCTTTTATAACTCGACCCATACATATTTGCATTTTTTGAAAATCTGGATGTCCCACATCCTTTTAGAACTCTTCCACTTGTATGGAAAAGGGGTGACTGAAAGATCTTACCATACTGACTGTCCCAAGGTCAAATCTCATCTGTCCTCTTAGTCTGCTAGCACACTCGTGTGGCGACTGAATGTATTGCCCTCTGCAGAGATCCTGTTTTTGTAATTACTCATACTGTTATTTACAGCCCTTTAATAGGGAATAGACAAAAAGATAAAAAAGGAAAGGAACGGAGTTCTTTTTTTCTCTTCTAGTGAAGAAAAAGAAAACGTCCAAACCTATAAGGATTTTGTAAACAAGTTTCCTAATAGGATTTTTGGAAACAGGCTCATGTTGTTCCAATTCTAGTCTTAGAACTTCATGGAAGGTATCCAAGGGCTGATATCCCCTTGTCTTTCCCATTCTTAGCATGGACTTCAGGTTGAATGTTCATCTTAGGAGGAGTTTGGGTTATTTACACATTTGGCAATTATCGCTCAATCCCTAAAAGTTGTTATATGCCATCAGTTTACAGTGCAAATATGTAAAGATGTTGTTGACAAGGTAGAATATGTGGGAGAAAAGTGCTGTCAGAAATAGAGCTGGGAAAATTGAACTATTCAGGTAGTGTACTTGGATAAATATGACTGTTATTCTCCAACTTGCTCATTAAGTGTGAGGTTACTCAGAATAAACCTTTGACTTCATCAAGTGTAGCCTGAGACAGGGAAGGAAGGCTGTCAGCCCCACTAAAAGAGAAAACTCATGTCCGGCATCCACTAGAATTCAGTAGGATCCAAGTGCTTTACTCCTTTGTATTGCTTTGAAAAGCCTAATCGTGGTGTATTTGTTGTTCTGCAGTGCCATGGTAGCGAAAAGGGCAGTCTGGCCTTCGTGCATATAAATTGTGAGTGAGCAGGTGCAGAGAAGCAGCGTTCAGGAGGTGGAAATCTCACCATACTTTCATATTCTCCAAAACCCCTCATAGGTATTGCAGAAGATTATGTAAAACTGAACCATTTCTTTTGGCACCAAGGTTAACACCTTTGTTTTCATTTGGAGAAAATACAAAGACTTTTGCTGTGCAGTCACCGTTCTCATCAGTACGTTTCAATACTTCCCTCTGGTGGAGAGATGCCTTGTAGTTGTGAGTTCGAGGGATGTGGGAGGTCAAGATAGATCCACAGGAGAATCACAGTTAAGTGACATACTTCCTCTGAATTTGAATGCAATCTGTTTCACTTGTTACACCTTTGAAAGAGGATTAGAAGGAAACAAAACTGCTGCTGTTTTGTTTGAACAGTTTCTAGTCTATCTGTTTAGTTGTGAAGTTACTTGCTTTTTGTGCATAGTGGGGAAAAAAATATGCTACAGTACATATCACTGGTCACTCGAGATACCGTTCTCTTTCTAATGAGACTGTAGTGCTTAAAGTGACAAGTTGCTATTTTTATTGTAGAACAAAAGATTCACTTTCATTCACATTCACTACTACAGTAGTGTAATGAACTGTCCTGTATTCTTTGATATTTGACAAACTGACTTAAATTAATATGCTTTTGTTGCATTATTTCCCATCTGCCTATGATAATAAACAACTATTTGAATGAAATTTTCCAGGATAGCTAATGAACTAGATTCTTATGGGTGAACATGATTCTAAATGGAAGCAAGGTGCAATAGTATAATTTTAACTTCTGGAGAAGTCACTTCTTTGTGATTATATTCTAGGGAATCTACTTCCAATGAGGTTATTTTTCAAAACATTATGTAGGACTTCTTTGAAATCAAACCTTTACAATGTACTATTGATGATATGAGTTTGGTGATTAAAATTGCGAAGGATGGTACTCTTGAGATTTAACACTTATCTGGGTTGCATTTTTTAGCTATTTTGAGTTTGTATTGCTTAAAAACAGAGCAAGGCTTTTATGAAGATTCCAGCATCATTGCTAGATTATCATCATCTGTGTTTTTGACTACGGGTGGTACTTCTCTCTGTATGTCTTTTACAAAGAAAATCTTCAGCGCTGTAAGTATTACAAGGCTGGTAAAGCATCACAGCATTCAAAGAGGTGATGTTCCTGGTGGAAAGAAAAGGTGCTCTGTACTCAGAGCAGTAGCTTCCAGACTTCACCGCCTTCGAAGATCGTGGTGAATTAATGACTGTGAATGTATCATACTAGCAGTGGTTTATATGCTGGAGTTTGAGGAAGAATTGCGCTACAATGTCTCTATGTATTAAAAAAAAAAAAAAAAAATCACGTGTTCTACAACCTGAAAAGATGGTTTCTCTCCCCATGAATAATAGAAATATCACGGTTTGGAACTGCCCCCTTATTTATTTGGGCTGTTCCAGAATAGAGGATAACGAAGTCTGCATTTTAATGTGACTCCATGGTCTTTGAGACTGTGGAGGTGTCATGGTTTAAAACCTTCAAACTGAGATGATCTTTGAAGACTGACAGATTTCTTAGAGTATAATTTTCTCTGAGGTCAGTAGCATTCCATGTCTTGTGTACTGGAGGACATGTTATCATCTGCAAAACTATTCCTGCTACTGTGTAGTTGGATGTTTTAGTGTTCTCTTGGCTGCCTTTTGTTGAGATGTTCAGAATGTGACTTCCACAGCAGGAGTCAGCCGGATAGCCGTGTCCTTGGGGTTAGGACCAGAGGTGGACTTCTGCTTTCTGGGGTATGTGAGTGACAAAGATACAGGTGAACAGCAAGGCAAATTCTTCTAATTTATGATTTTTGTGAATATTTTGGCCTTTCTTTCTGTTTCCTAGAGGTTAGAATAAGTTTATGATTGTAAGCTTTGTTGTTAGTAATTTTTTAACAAGTGAGTGACTGTGTTATAAATATTACTGCTAATTGTAGTTTAGTGCTTAAATGTTCTATTCCAACATAAGATTTTTTTCCTTTCCCTTTTCACTCTTTGATATAGCTTGATTCTAGTAAAGAAGGAAATCGTTTCAGATTTAAAGGCATTCAGCTAATACAGAATTAAGGAAAAGAATAGAATTCATGTGAATAAATAATTTCCTGTTTGCTTCTCTAGAGCTAACAGTATCGAGAAGACAAAACTTTTCCCTGCCCATTTAAAAATATTTACTCCTTCATGAAGTCAAATACTCTGTATGTTGTGCTTTAGCCCTGCCTGCATCACAGTATAGGTATAAAAATAAAGTTGTTGTTATGGTCGCTCTGGACA